TCACTTTATCTGGAAAATCATTTTTTATAAGCAATGGTATAGAAAAGGGATAAGAACAATAGCAGACTTACTAGAAGCTGGTAATACTAATAATTTTCTTAGTTTTCAAGACTTTCAGAGAATATACAATGTGACAACTAACTTTTTGAACTATCAAGGTATCATTTCTGAAGTTAAAAAATTCCTAAGAGATAAGAATGACTCTCAACGGCCTGTAATACCATTATATATAAAGATGTTTTTCGAGCATTTAAAAGGTTCAAAAATATTTTATAATATTTTAAATACAACTCGGACAGAGCCAACTGGTAAAGCTAAATGGGGAGAGCAGTTTGATTTAACAAATAGTGATTGGGAAATTTTCTACAAAATGCCATTTCAAATTACAAAAAACACCAAACTTCAATGGCTCCAGTATAGGATCTCTCATCACATTCTGACAACTAATAGTAGGCTTTTTAAGGCAAAACTTGTGTCCAGTCCACTTTGTAATCTATGCAACTCAGAAAGAGAATCGATCACTCATCTCCTTTGGGAATGTCAGGAAGTGCAAAACTTTTTACAATCATTTGAAACACTAACAGATTCTTTATTAATACCATTCTCAGTCAACAAAAGGTCTTTTATACTTGGAATTAAAAGGAACAATAGCCCTAGCTTTAGAGTTGACAATGAAGTAATTCTTATGATTAAACATTATATATATAAAACAAGATGCCTCCATGCTACTCTCAATATCAACGCCATTGTAAAGATTATACAAAATCACTATTCTGTTCAAAAATATATTTCAAATAGCAAAAACACGTCTTACAAACAAAATTTCACAAATGATTGGAAAAAATGGGAAAATCTTATCCAATTGAATATTTAAATAATTATAATACTTTTTATCCTTGACAGTGCTGTCATATCTTTGTTTCACTGTCTTTAGCTAAAAATTTGTTTCAACATCCCATGGACTTCTTATGTCATTCCCCCCTCCCCATCCCTATCTTCCTATTTCTGTTTTCATCGCTTTGTCTGTTTCTTTAATTGTAGAGAATGATTCAGTGAGAGAGAGCAATCTATGTATAATGTAAATTATTGATATTTCCTCTATGCTATCATTTAGTCTGGCTGTACTATGCTCTGTGTAATCTTTGACAACAAGGGCAGATAACAAAGAATCATCACCAGCTATTCACACCTCAATTATTTTTTTATGTTTTTTTTTTAACGTGAATTACACTTTGTTTCAAACAAGCAGAAGTTGCAACATGGAAAGGCTGTTATGTGGGGCGTATCTCGCTACTCCCAATCCATGCTTGCACTTCTGGTTTGGGATTACACTATTGAAAACATATAATTTTGAATAAAGTTTGGGGATTAGGTGTTAATAGATGATGATGAGGCAAAACACTAATAATAATAAACAGCTCTGTTGTTGATCAGTGTATGATGTGATAATGAGGATGAAAGGTTGATGATAACTATGTGATGATGATGATGATGATGATGATGATGATGATGATGATGATGACAGCAGTCATTGAGTTTGTATTATTATTGGGGCGTGTGAATGAAACACAGTAGTACATTGTATGTCATGTCAGCAAAGAGGAAAGAGTAGGAAATAATGAGTGCATGTTTTGAGTGAGTGTACATGGGTGTAGTGTGATGTGTGCTAGGGTGAGTATGTGTATGTGAGTCTAGTATATATCGTGTGTTGCATACCTTTGTAAAATATTGAAAAACAAAATAATAAAAAAAAAATATTTCGTGAAAAAACGAAAGAAAGCTCAAAATGAAATATTCCGAGGATGAAATTATGAGAATGATGAAATTCTGGTGGACAACATCTGACATTTCGATCGTTAACTTTTCCTTCCTTAGTTTCCCCTACCTGTTTCGTCTATTTTACATATCACAGTTGATTCAGTACTCCAGATCTTGCTCTGAATATCGCCACTTCCGTCATAGATGTCAGCTGCTGACAGAAGAACATATAACACAGGTTTCCCAGATATGCAGGCTTCAGATAATGCGATCAAGTTTGATAACAGCTATCAAGATTTCATTGAGAAACATATTTCTCTGTGTGATATGAAGGGTGATGATTTCATTTATACCCATTGGAGTATCTTGTTGTTTTGATGCCTCTTCCTGAGTTTTCAGTGCGAAATTTGACATTACCTGGCTTAGATTTAGAAGTAGACAACGGTTATCCTTCCGGAGCACATTGTTTTATTCTCTTGTACCTTTTCCAAGAGAATCCACGTAAACCTATCTTTTCTTCATATTTTGCACTAGTTTTATCGATGTTAAGTTATGGTTTTGTTGACACTTCGCTGTAATCTTTTTTTTACATATGTGTAATATTAATTCATGGTATGGCCGTATGGTACAGTAAGTCAATTTTGTGACAATTGCTGTTTTCAGTCCTCTACCTCTCACAAATCGTCCTCGGTATGAAGGTAAAATTCAGACAAATAATTCTTCAATTGATTGTCAAGCTATGGTAATGAAAGGCATTAAAAGATCTTAATGTCTGAAGTTTCTAATGTTCTAGGTTTTTTCTAAAATGCCAAAACATTGTACTCGTTTCCCGGTATGCAATCATAGACCTCAGAAAGCACCTTCTGTAGGTATGTATGTGATTGGATATGTGTGTTTGTGTGTGTGTGTGTGTGTGTGTGTGTTTTATCACGTGAACGCCTTATGAGTCAAAGCTGTGTCATAACCCGTATACTACTGAATATGATTTCGTCTGTTCAATGTGAAGGGATTCTAATGTCAATAACAATATATGCTTAGATACAAACAGGTACATAATTTCAAACAGAATCGACAACAACGACCATATATTTTTTTCAAAAATCGAGAGACGTAAAACAAGCGTTTCATTTAAAAATGAGAAGAAAGAAAAGAGGGCAATGTTTTTGTTACATGTTGTTAATATGTCAATCATCATGTCACTTTGTTATAAATATATAACGTTAGAGCATATCTTAAGCCATGCTGATTGATTAACATTTTCAATCCTTGCCACTCAATGCTAGCAAATACCAAGAAAGACATCTTATCGTTTTTTTTTTAAATCCCTTTGTCGAGTGTCACGCCTAACTTATATCAACCAGGAGGTCTAGTACACCGATATATGGTGTATATAATTTGTTGTGTACGTGACCACTTGATATGTGTTTTTTCCGATTGGTAAGTGTATGTTACCGCCGCGCATGCTGAATGTTAATGTGCATTTTCCGTTCCACGGTCCGCTCGAACAATTTTCGGACAGCCTCCCTGTTTTTCCAAAGGTTTTATGTAATACCCGCCAATGACAGCAGGATCACTGTTCGTCTTGTAAGCCTCTAATCATAAAATGTACCTGGAAAATCCGTCCGCACATCCGTTGATACAGATACCGTACGGTTTGAGTTTGTCATAGGAATCAATATGCCAGACACAATTCGGCCCCTTTACGTTGTAACTCCGTCTTACAAGTCTCCCACGCTTTCGAAGCTCCACTCCTTCAGGATCAAGATGATTTAGAATAAGTTGCACTGTTTCCTTACTCACAACTAAGCCATTTGTAATACACATCTGGTGCATAAACCTGTATCCGTGAAGCTGGCCAGCTCCAGCTAGTTGTCTACTTACAAAGTCAACTACGTTATCCAAACCGGAAAATTTCTTTCGCCGATACAATCGAAGCCTCGAAAGAACCGTCAAAGTTGTCTTGCACTAAAAATACAGCCGAATCTGTGAGCAAAATAAGAACACATTTCTGCCTGACTAAGTCCAAGATGAAATAGGCATTCCATGTTGAATGTTGCCTCAGTGTCGTATCTTGATCGATCGAGATAATAAGTCGATCGATCGAGTTGATAAGTCGATCAATTGAGATAATAAGTCGAGCGATCGAGTTGATAAGTCGATCGATCGAGATAATAAGTCGATCTATTGAGATAATTAAGTCGATCAATTGAAATACTAAGTCGATCGATCGAGTTTATAAGTCGATCGATCGAGATAATAAGTCGATCTATTGAGATAATTTAGTCGATCGATCGAGTTATTAAGTCGATCGATCGAGATAAAAAATTATTATCATGTAACCTACGATGTCCTTTCTCTGCCACTGTACATATCCAATCACAACCACAAGCAGAAATTCCTCTGTCGAGTGTCACGCCTAACTTATATCAACCAGGAACTCTAGTAAACCGATATATGGTGTATAGAATTTATTGTGTACGTGACCACTTGACATGTTTTTTTTCCGATTGGTAAGTGTATGTTACCGGCGCGCATGCTGAAACTCAATATAGTTCATTATGTCTTCATGAATATCACATTCACTAACAGAAAAGATTATTAATATGAAATTAATATTATCTTCTTTGCCATAAGCTGATCAAATTCATTCGAGAAAATCTAATGCACCATCACAACAGTATACATCAAACCAATTGTACTGGCACGACTTGACTCGAGATATTATTTAAAAGTATAAAAGAATTACAATGCCAGCGCCATAGACATGACCAAGACGGAGCTGTATGCAACTTCTAAACAGTGTTTAAATAGACATACTGCAAAATAAATCTATTATGTACTTAATGAGTCACAACTCTTCTTTTCGATTGAATATGGCATCGGTTAAAAGTTCACTGGCTTCTTACCTATGATGTAAATTCTGTAATTATATGATGTGATTCCTTGTACCTATCTAATAAATTAACTAATCGTATCGACATGGACTGAACGTTAGCTGAATAACACTATAAAAATGGAATATATAGATCATCTCCCTCTGTCCGTTTGACAAGAATGTTGATAATGTTTAAATATTGCATTGACTAATAGTGAATCAATATACATTACAATCACATTTTTGGTTTGACCAATCATATCGAAGCTTTCTAGTGACTGCGATGAAATTAGTCAGATTTCCCCACCTAGACACAGACGAACAACAAGGCAGGGCACATTTGCGAGAAAACATCTGACCGTGCATGATGTGTAAACTGTTACAGATCATCGTGCTTCTTCTTTCTGTAACAAGAAATGCACATTCTATTCCTATTGAAGAGTTCTATCCTTTCGGAGAATCCAATGGAGATAGCGACTTCCCTAAGAACGATGACGGCAGTTCACCAGCTGTGACTATCAGCACATTGTTCCCGTTCTTTAATAATCAACATGGCAGTTTATATGTAAGTTTTCAGCGGTGCCATATTTTGAAATTAGAGACCAGTGATAATATTTGTTTTTTTTTTCTCATATGTGTATGGTAAGATAGGTGGCATTAGTCTTTTAATGTGATACATGACTGGTTATATTTCAACACTATGTCATGCATGTAAGTTTTAAAATGAGATTTATTGACTATTATTGCTAAGCATTTTCATCCTGTCAGTTAATGGCGTCTTTTTGTATCATAATTAAAGAAAACCAAATTCAAATATTTAAGATAAAATTGAAGAATGTTTATCAATGCATCAAACAAAAGAACAATGACATATAAACCGCTAGTGATGAGCAGTTGTTACGAGCGCTACAAATAAGCCAAACAACAAACACTTCCGGAACCCCTGGTCTTTTTATCCTTGTTCTTTTTCAGTAGTCTCCATGTAAATATTTCTGTAGTTCATATATTGCCCTAGTCTGATTGAATTCGAGTTTGGATTATATTTTTTTCTTTAGGATGGACAAACTGTAAAATGGGAAACGTATTGTATTGATAACTGACGTATTTAAAGGCTTAAACTCGTACTTTTTTTAAAAGCATTACTGGTGCACTATTAGTCATCTGAGAGTTTATTTTGTCTTGAATTGAAAAAAAAATGGCTCTGGATTTTTTTTTTTCAGCAAACGTATCATTAATCATGACATGCAACTCTAACTGAACACGCGTAAACCGCTCTGTCATTAATCATTCATATACGTATTATTATATACATACACTTTAAATCAATCTTATCAATATAGACACAATTCTCGCAAACTTTATTTTTTGTATTTTGTAATATACATAATTCATTGAAAAGTTAGTATAATGATATACGTTCAAGAATATCTTTTCTGAAGTTAAAAAAAGAAAAAGAAAACGAAAACTTTTGATCAAAGTCTTTGTAGACACGGCATATTTTTTATCTACTCTTTCACACAGCAAAACTTAAATCGCATTCGTCCTTATCCCCACCTCGGATAAAATGTTTTGATTGAGAGCTTAGTATGACATCAAATATATCTTTACGTTCCTGTTTTGTCAAGTAAGTTCGGAACGTAATGGAGGCAATAAATCTCCTCGGAGTAACCAGCATTGTGTATTGTTAAAAACTAGATAACTCCCCAAGATTCGAGTTAAGAAATGTCCTTAAAATGAAAAATAATAGAAGGGTAAATGAATAGTTGAATAACATAATTCAAGAATACTTTCAATGGGTTATCTTAGAAGTGTCCGGTTTATATACGTTATTTTACAGCAAATGTCAATTATAATATTTAAGAATTTCTTTCTACAATTTTCTTTTTTGAAATTTCTTTCTAAGTTAATTTGGGCTGATAAAATTAAACGAAAAGTTAGCATTTTCACATCATGTTTCATTCAATACTGTAGTATTACAAAAAAGCCGAAATATGATGAATAAACATTGTCATGCAAATAACAACGTAGTTTTGTCATTCACGTAAAACAAGAATAATTATCGGAAATTAAAAACTTCCTATAACAGTCATTCTGATCCTCTCTTTCTTTCTTCTGGCGGCTGCTGCTGCTCTTCCTGTTCCTCCTCCTACTGTTCCTCCTACTGTTCCTCCTCCTACAGTTCCTCCTCCTACTGTTCCTCCTACTGTTCCTCCTCCTACTGTTCCTCCTACTGTTCCTCCTCCTACTGTTCCTCCTACTGTTCCTCCTCCTACTGTTCCTCCTACTGTTCCTCCTCCTACTGTTCCTCCTACTGTTCCTCCTCCTACTGTTCCTCCTACTGTTCCTCCTCCTACAGTTCCTCCTACTGTTCCTCCTCCTACTGTTCCTCCTCCTACAGTTCCTCCTACTGTTCCTCCTCCTACTGTTCCTCCTACTGTTCCTCCTCCTACAGTTCCTCCTCCTACTGTTCCTCCTACTGTTCCTCCTCCTACTGTTCCTCCTCCTACTACTGTTCCTCCTCCTACTGTTCCTCCTACTGTTCCTCCTCCTACTGTTCCTCCTACTGTTCCTCCTCCTACTGTTCCTCCTCCTCTTCCTGTTCCTCCTCCTCCTCCTACTGTTCCTCTACTGTTCCTCCTCCTTCTCCTACTGTTCCTCCTACTGTTCCTCCTTCTCCTACTGTTCCTCTACTGTTCCTCCTCCTCCTCTTACTGTTCCTCCTACTGTTCCTCCTCCTCCTACTGTTCCTCCTCCTACTGTTCCTCCTACTGTTCCTCCTCCTACTGTTCCTCCTCCTTCTCCTACTGTTCCTCCTACTGTTCCTCCTCCTCCTACTGTTCCTCCTACTGTTTCTCCTCCTACTGTTCCTCCTACTGTTCCTCCTCCTACTGTTCCTCCTCCTCTTCCTGTTCCTCCTCCTACTGTTCCTCCTCCTTCTCCTACTGTTCATCTACTGTTCCTCCTCCTCCTCTTCCTGTTCCTCCTCCTGTTCCTCCTCCTCCTACTGTCCTCCTCCTGTTCCTCCTCCTCCTACTGTCCCTTCTCCTCTTACTGTTCCTCCTCCTCCTCTTCCTGTTCCTCCTCCTGTTCCTCCTCCTCCTACTGTTCCTCCTCCTTCTCCTACTGTTCCTCCTACTGTTCCTCCTCCTCCTACTGTTCCTCCTACTGTTCCTCCTCCTACTGTTCCTCCTACTGTTCCTCCTCCTACTGTTCCTCCTCCTCTTCCTGTTCCTCCTCCTCCTCCTACTGTTCCTCCTCCTTCTCCTACTGTTCCTCCTCCTCTTACTGTTCCTCCTACTGTTCCTCCTCCTCTTCCTGTTCCTCCTCCTCTTACTGTTCCTCCTCCTGTTCCTCCTCCTCTTCCTGTTCCTCCTCCTCCTGCTCCTATTGTTCCTCCTCCTCTTCCTGTTCCTCCTCCTCCTCTTACTGTTCCTCCTCCTCTTCCTGGTCCTCCTCCTCCTCCTCTTACTGTTCCTCCTCATCTTCCTGTTCCTCTTCCTGTTCCTCCTCCTCCTCCTTTTCCTCCTCCTACTCCTCCTCCTCCTGCTCCTACTGTTCCTCCTCCTCCTCCTTTTCCTCCTCCTACTCCTCCTCCTCCTGCTCCTACTGTTCCTCCTCCTCCTCCTCTTACTGTTCCTCCTCATCTTCCTGTTCCTCTTCCTGTTCCTCCTCCTCCTGTTCCTCCTCCTACTCCTCCTCCTCCTGCTCCTACTGTTCCTCCTCCTCCTTCCCCTCCTACTCTCCCTGTTGATAAATCTTGATCAATTCAATTAGTAATGTAAACTGTTCTCAAAGGAAAACAAATTATACAGCAACGGAACCAACTGGCAAGCACGTCTGGCTTCATATCACATAAAGAAATACAATGTTTCTAAACGAGAACACTATGACGACCCATTAAATCTTGATATTGAGATCAAACTCTTGAATATAGAACAAACAAGTAAACACCATATGTTGAGGCTGCAGAATATAAATAGCCCAATATTGATTGGATTCTAATATTACAATTGTCTAAATACGCGTCCATTTTGCAAGGCTTTCGAAGAAAAAAAATGAAAATGAAGAATTTTTCATGACACAGAGCCATTAGTTGGACTCCTGTATAAAATCAAATAATTCATTGTAATGCATTGTATACGTTTTCTGTTTCTATCAAGGTAAACACTAACGGCGTAATCAGCTTTCTTGGTGTCGTATCACAGTACACACCAGATCCGTTTCCCTTAGACAATTCACGACGTCTGATAGCACCATTTTGGGCGGATGTGGACATTAGAAATGGTGGAACAGTTTGGTATCGAGAGACAACAAATACTTCCATTCTGCGGAGGGCTACAGAAGAAGTGAGGTTGTTTTATCCAAGCCAGTCCAGATTCGTTGCAGCTTGGGTATTTATTGCCACATGGGATGATGTCGCTTTCTATGGAGCAACCACAGCTGCAGCTGCAATGGTATCCACTAATATTTTATCTACCTCCACTACGTTATCAAATATTGTTTTTCCGTTTTCAATATACATCTGAGAAATGTCAGTAATGTCTCGTGGTAGCCTAATTTTCAAAAAAAAAAAAAAAAAAAAAGATATTCATTTCCTGTTGTTATTTATATTTGTTAAGTTCTTCCTCACATGGGACAGCAACATATTCTATTTCTTTATTCCAGTGGTTTAGTACAAATTTAAAATATGAAAGGCTTACATTACTTTAGAATCCTGTAATGTTGTATTATCCGGAGTGCTCGTCCTAAGTATGATATAATTGTGTCGATTCAGAAACGGAACTCTTTTCAAGCTGTTCTTATTACCAATGGAAGACATTCGTTCACTATATTCAACTATTACAATATAACGTGGACGACCGGCACAGCCAGTGGCGGCAATCCTGATGGACTTGGAGGAACACCAGCTCAGGTAAAATTACAATTTTTTCCACACTTTCTCGCCAGAGAAGAAGTCATCTATTAAAATGTGTTTTCTTTCCTAAGAGAAAGGAAATTCATACACAGAGGGTTCGTCACCATAACAATGTTTTGTAGCATAACAATGTCATACTCGTATGACGTCATCAATTTCGACCCTTGTGTACGTGCCCTATATGGTGGCGTGTGGTATACAAGTGAAGAGAACATGAAGTATTAGCAATTTCTCTTTAATCGTCTATAATGTAGGCCGAGTTATCTTACTTCAACTGTAAATTTTGATAGAGTGTTGACCGTGTCAACAATGTAGGTGTATCCATACACCAAAATATTCTGGGTGACAGATCAATTAAATTACGCCCGTTTAGTTACCATATTTACCTCATATCAGTGTAGTATTTATTCTTAATGTATCATTATCATGGTCACTCCACATCACAGTAGAATAGCGTAAAATTCAGTTTTAGGGTTTCGATATCGTAATGAGACAATGTCAGGATATGTTGTTATTATTTGTGAATATCTCGTTATCGAAGGTATCAGGTAAGTGCTATCTATTATGTATTGTCAATATCTTGTTACCGTATTTACTCAATAGCAGGACAGTGTTGTCAGTTGTTATTGTCAATATCTTGTTACCATAGTTACCCAATAGCAGGTCAGTGATGTCAGTTGTTATTGTCAATATCTTGTTACCATAGTTACCCAATAGCAGGACAGTGTTGTCAGTTGTTATTGTCAATATCTTGTTACCATAGTTACCCAATAGCAGGACAGTGTTGTCAGTTGTTATTGTCAATATCTTGTTACCGTAGTTACTCAATAGCGAGACAGTGATATCAGGTGTGTTATTGTCAATATCTTGTTACCGTAGTTACCCAATAGCAGGACAGTGTTGTCAGTTGTTATTGTCAATATCTTGTTACCGTAGTTACTCAATAGCGGGACAGTGTTGTCAGTTGTTATCATCAATATCTTGATACCATAGTTACTCAATAGCAGGACAGTGTTGTCAGTTGTTATTGTCAATATCTTGTTACCGTAGTTACTCAATAGCGAGACAGTGATATCAGGTGTGTTATTGTCAATATCTTTTTACCGTAGTTACTCAATAGCAGGTCAGTGTTGTCAGTTGTTATTGTCAATATATTGTTACCGTAGTTACTCAATAGCGGGACAGTGATGTTAGTTGTTATCGTCAATATCTTGTTACCGTAGTTACTCAATAGCAGGTCAGTGTTGTCAGTTGTTATTGTCAATATCTTTTTACCGTAGTTACTCAATAGCAGGTCAGTAATGTAGGGTGTTATTGTCAATATCTTGTTACCGTAGTTACTCAATAGCGGGACAGTGTTGTCAGTTGTTATTGTCAATATCTTGTTACCATAGTTACCCAATAGCAGGACAGTGTTGTCAGTTGTTATTGTCAATATCTTGTTACCATAGTTACCCAATAGCAGGACAGTGTTGTCAGTTGTTATTGTCAATATCTTGTTACCGTAGTTACTCAATAGCGAGACAGTGATATCAGTTGTTATTGTCAATATCTTTTACCATAGTTACTAATAGCAGGTCAGTGATGTCAGTTGTTATTGTCAATATCTTGTTACCGTAGTTACTCAATAGCAGGACAGTGTTGTCAGTTGTTATTGTCAATATCTTGTTACCGTAGTTACTCAATAGCGGGACAGTGTTGTCAGTTGTTATTGTCAATATCTTGTTACCATAGTTACCCAATAGCAGGTCAGTGATGTCAGTTATGTATTGTCAATATCTTGTTACCGTAGTTACTCAACAGCAGGACAGTGTTGTCAGTTGTTATTGTCAATATCTTGTTACCGTAGTTACTCAATAGCGGGACAGTGTTGTCAGTTGTTATTGTCAATATCTTGTTACCATAGTTACCTAATAGCAGGTCAGTGATATCAGTTATGTATTGTCAATATCTTGTTACCATAGTTACTCAATAGCAGGACAGTGTTGTCAGTTGTTATTGTCAATATCTTGTTACCATAGTTACCCAATAGCAGGTCAGTGGTGTCAGTTATGTATTGTCAATATCTTGTTACTGTAGTTACTCAATAGCAGTTTAGTGTTGTCAGTTGTTATTGTCAATATCTTGTTACCATAGTTACTCAATAGCAGGTCAGTGTTGTCAGTTTTGTATTGTCAATATCTTGTTACCGTAGTTACTCCATAGCAAGACAGTGTTTTCAGTTGTTATTGTCAATATCTTGTTACCGTAGTTACTCAATAGCAGGTCAGTGTTGTTAGTTGTTATCGTCAATATCCTGTTATCGAAGGTGCTCTATATCAGGTCAGTGTTATCTCTTATTTATTGTCAAAATTTAATTACCGTATCTGCTCTATATCAGTTTAGTGTTGTTTGTTATTTATCACTTAGCTCAGCTCTTTTCTGAACATGTGTTAGAAGGTCCTCTTCTCTTTTGTGGTTTTTATACAATTTTACTCCAATGTAGTCTTTCGGTACCTTAATTACTCTATATTAGGATTATGTTGACTGTCCTCGTCAGTGTTTCGGTACCTTAATTACTCTATATTTGGATAATGTTGACTTTCCTCGTCAGTGTTTCGGTACCTTAATTACTCTATATTAGGATTATGTTGACTGTCCTCGTCAGTGTTTCGTTCCTCAGTGTTTCGGTACCTTAATTACTCTATATTAGGATAATGTTGACTGTCCTCCTCAGTGTTTCGGTACCTTAATTACTCTATATTAGGATAATGTTGACTGTCCCCGTCAGTGTTTCAGTACCTTAATTACTCTATATTAGGATTATGTTGACTGTCCCCGTCAGTGTTTCGTTACCTTAATTACTCTATATTTGGATAATGTTGACTGTCCCCGTCAGTGTTTCGGTACCTTAATTACTCTATATTTGGATAATGTTGACTTTCCTCGTCAGTGTTTCGGTACCTTAATTACTCTATATTAGGATTATGTTGACTGTCCTCGTCAGTGTTTCGTTACCTTAATTACTCTATATTTGGATAATGTTGACTGTCCTCGTCAGTGTTTCGGTACCTTAATTACTCTATATTTGGATAATGTTGACTTTCCTCGTCAGTGTTTCGGTACCTTAATTACTCTATATTAGGATTATGTTGACTGTCCTCGTCAGTGTTTCGTTACCTTAATTACTCTATATTTGGATAATGTTGACTGTCCTCGTCAGTGTTTCGGTACCTTAATTACTCTATATTTGGATAATGTTGACTGTCCTCGTCAGTGTTTCGTTACCTTAATTACTCTATATTTGGATAATGTTGACTGTCCTCGTCAGTGTTTCGGTACCTTAATTACTCTATATTAGGATTATGTTGACTGTCCTCCTCAGTGTTTCGTTACCTTAATTACTCTATATTAGGATTATGTTGACTGTCCTCGTCAGTGTTTCGGTACCTTAATTACTCTATATTAGAATAATGTTGACTGTCCTCGTCAGTGTTTCGGTACCTTAATTACTCTATATTAGAATAATGTTGACTGTCCTCGTCAGTGTTTCGGTACCTTAATTACTCTATATTAGGATTATGTTGACTGTCCTCGTCAGTGTTTCGGTACCTTAATTACTCTATATTAGAATAATGTTGACTGTCCTCGTCAGTGTTTCGGTACCTTAATTACTCTATATTTGGATAATGTTGACTGTCCTCGTCAGTGTTTCGTTACCTTAATTACTCTATATTTGGATAATGTTGACTGTCCTCGTCAGTGTTTCGTTACCTTAATTACTCTATATTAGAATAATGTTGACTGTCCTCGTCAGTGTTTCGGTACCTTAATTACTCTATATTTGGATAATGTTGACTTTCCTCGTCAGTGTTTCGGTACCTTAATTACTCTATATTAGGATTATGTTGACTGTCCCCGTCAGTGTTTCGTTACCTTAATTACTCTATATTTGGATAATGTTGACTGTCCTCGTCAGTGTATCGGTACCTTATTTACTCTATATTAGAATAATGTTGACTGTCCTCGTCAGTGTTTCGGTACCTTAATTACTCTATATTTGGATAATGTTGACTTTCCTTGTCAGTGTTTCGGTACCTTAATTACTCTATATTAGGATAATGTTGACTGTCCCCGTCAGTGTTTCGTTACCTTAATTACTCTATATTTGGATAATGTTGACTGTCCTCGTCAGTGTTTCGGTACCTTAATTACTCTATATTAGGATAATGTTGACTGTCCTCGTCAGTGTTTCGGTACCTTAATTACTCTATATTAGAATAATGTTGACTGTCCTCGTCAGTGTTTCGTTACCTTAATTACTCTATATTAGAATAATGTTGACTGTCCTCGTCAGTGTTTCGTTACCTTAATTACTCTTTATTAGGATAATATTATCTGTGATTCAATGTAAATGTTTTATTTTTCAAAGTTACTGCATATAAAGATGTTGTTTGCTATTTAAACACTATTTTGTAACAATAGTAACTCCATATAATTGTAATGTTGTGTGTTATTCGTTTCGGTCTTTGTGCGTTTACATTCATATTTCACTAAACTAAACAAAAGAATGCTTTAACCCATCATACGACCATAGGTAGGATTTAATGCTGGTGATGGTATCAACTTTTACGCTGTCAATGAATCTAGAACAGACGCAATTATCAACCTACCACAACTCTCCAATGTGCAAGTAGATGGGAAATTTGTGTTCCGAATAGACACGGAAACAATAGAACAGGGTGGCTGCAATACTGGAGGTTTGTACAAGAAGAGTTAGTTTGAGTTGTTATAAGCAATGACTTACATTTCGATGTCTCTCTATACCTATGTCCACATAAAACTGTGGATTTGTTTTATATGCTAAAACATTTTGAAAAAAAAAAAAACAACACAAGGCCGATAACATCTGAATCGCTCACCTGGATGAGATTTAAATTCATTAATTGAAGGAAAAGTATTTGAAAGACTAATTCCCCTATTTTGCATCAACCCTCTGCCCCAAGTGGTTAAGTTCCCTTCACCATGGATGTTTCAAATCAAATGTAAACAAAAATTCACAATTACAACAGAAGAAAGGTCTTAAAGAATTTGGTCTTTTCATTTATTGGGCCCCGCCCCGCCAATCCCAGCATGCCGAAACCCACGGTTAATACAAAATTGATCGCCTTCACCCTAGCATGTCTCAGACCGAATTGAGACAATGTCCCCGAGGGACCCAGACCTTCCGTTTATACGAAGTTAAATTCTCTTCCCCTAGGATACTTTAGACAAAATTTGATAAAATTTAAATTTGATAAAATTTCCCCCACCCCTCACCCCCAAGGTTAAAATCCTCCCAGTCGTTCCTGACTACTGTCGACTTCCTGGAAACATTGACAGGCGACGGACGGGCGATGGACGCCTCGGTATCACCAAGAAACGATTCTTGAGGCGGACAGACCAAAGCCCCAATCCCCCCACCCACCACCCCCCCACCCCCCACCCCCACCCCCCCAGGTTAAAATCCTCCCAGTCGTTCCTGACTACTATCGACTTCCTGGAAACATTGACAGGCGACGGACGGGCGATGGACGCCTCGGTATCACCAAGAAACGATTCTTGAGGCGGACAGACCAAAGCCCCCATCCCCCACCCCTCACCCCCCACGTTAAAATCCTCCCAGTCGTTCCTGACTACTATCGACTTCCTGGAAACATTGACAGGCGACGGACGGGCGATGGACGCCTCGGTATCACCAAGAAACGATAAGCTGTTTCCTTGACGTCTCGTGATTTATTTGTAACTCACTCTCAAGTTGTTTCAGTCTTTAAGAAAAGTCACACTATACGTATCATTGTTACCTACGAATATCTTGGTATTGTGATATCTATTTCGTCTGTCTCGACATTATTTATCTACTTTACAGAAAGTTTTCATGTACATTTTATAGGATTGCTTAATGCTGTAGCAATCAATATGATTTAGTCGTCTGTTGTTTTATACCAGGAACGTTGACTATATCACCTCGTTACTCTAACATGTTTGGAGGAGAAGAAAAAGTGCTGGCCGGCCCATGCATAAAGTCAGAGGACAGAGTGAGAGCTACGTTTGGGATAGAAGGGTCGTCTGTATCCTGTACTATGAATTCTATGTACAGCGTAGCTTGTATCACACCTACTTTTTACACTACTGGGGATGTCGGTGTAACTCTGGAAGTGACGTCACCCAATCAGCAAAGCGACGTATACGGAGGGATAATTACTGTATGTGAGTATGAAAATTATAGAAATATCAACAAATCATCAATAATCTCGTCAAAGCCCGAGCCAGCACCTGTCATACATCTAGTTTATACCCCTGGTAAAATACTAGTTTCAATAAACCGCTCAGCTAGATGGAACTTCTTTTTAGCTCGATAATAATAACCATGGGTCACGGGTTCGAATCCTAGCGGAGGCATCAAAATGAATATTGACTTCTATTACGGGCAGTCAGTTCACTACTCATTCAACGTAAGAAGGATTATTATTCAGGAAAAATCACAGAATGTGGATCGGATACAAGACAGCTTTTCAGACTCACCAGAAACCTTATGGGACATACTGGTGAAATCGCCCTACCAAGCTGTTCTTCTGAAAAAATCTTGTCCAACAAGTTCAGTGATTTTTTCCAGGATAAAATCAATACAATCAGGCAAAAGATTGATGTTGTGAACGCAACTTCCGACACTGGCATCTCTGCCATGGATGCCGATATCCAATTCTCTGGTGAACCTTTGACGCAGTTCACTCCAACAACTGAAGAAGAATTGCGCAAGATCATTACAAACTCTCAATCGAAATCCTGTGAGCTGGACCCGATTCCCACAGTTTTATTGAAGCAATGTCTTGATGCACTGCTCCCCTTGATCACCTTAATCATGAATAAATCATTAGCAGAGTCTAGGGTTCCATTGTGTTTCAAGAAGGCTAATGTAAGACCACTGCTGAAAAAGCCTGGACTGAACAAGGAAGAATTAAAGAACTACCGTCCGGTGTCAAATCTCCCTTTCTTATCTAAGATCTTGGAGAAGATTGTGTTCCAGCGACTTGAGGCTTATCTCAATGCTAACAGTCTTCATGACAACTTGCAATCAGCCTATCGCACAGGACATTCCACTGAGACGGCCCTACTTCGCGTCTACAGTGATATTGCTGCCGCTCTGGATAACAAGTGTAGAGCGGTTCTTATCATGCTTGATCTGTCTGCTGCATTTGATGTCATTGACCATGGCACACTGTTCAAGCGTCTGGAGTACTCTTATGGGGTGACTGGTGATGCATTACGCTGGACCCAGTCTTACTTTAATGAACGACGACAGTGCGTTGCCATTGGATCAACTGTTTCAGACGGCAAAACCTTAGACTTCAGAGTTCCTTAGGGGTTCGTTCTGGGACCTAGAAAATACTGTCTTTATTCGAAACCAATCGGGGAGATTTGTCGTCGTCATAACCTTCAGTACTATTGTTATGTCGACGACACACAAATCTACATGGTTATCAGACCTCAAGACAACTGGGACATAATAGTAGCAAGTCTTGAAGCCTGTCTAAATGACATTAGTGCTTGGATGAACTCAAACATGCTCAAGCTCAATCAGGGAAAGACAGAACTGATCGTCTTTTCCCACAAGTGTCAACACACTAAAGGTCTCCAGTTAAAGGTCGGTGCCCAAACTATTGAGGCCGTCCAAGCTGTGAGAAACCTTGGTGTACACTTTGATAGCTCTCTGAACATTGAGAAACAGATAAACTCAATTGCCAGTTCCTGTTATCACCAAATCAGAAACATTGGGGGTATCCGTCAGTTTATCACCACAGATGCATGCAAGACACTGGTACATTCTCTTGTTACTTCTAGGTTAGACTATGGTAACGCGTTACTCGTTGGTGTATCTGATACACTTATGAGCCGCCTGCAGAGAGTACAGAACACCGCAGCACGCCTAGTTACCCGTACTCGAAAGAGGGACCACATTACACCAGTCCTTTACTTATTGCATTGGCTGCCCGTGCTATTCCGGTCACAGTACAAGATTTTGATGTATACATACAAGGCAATAAATGGCTCCTGAATATTTGCAGGAACTTGTCACCGTTTATCGGCCGTCACGATCACTACGATCGGAGACAGAATCATTGTTGTGCGTTCCGAACTCTCGGACTGTGACTTATGGTAACCGGTGCTTTGGAAAGGTAGCGGCCGCTTTGTGGAACAGCTTACCATCTGCTACCAGAAGGTCAAAATCCCTGGCCAAATTCAAGAGGGATATTAAAACCCACCTGTTTACGTCTGCATTTTAGACTCTCACGCAGACGTCCTGTATATACATACTTTCACCACTACTTACTTGTTTTGGTTACTGTGTTACATATGTTGATTACTGTGTTATACATGTTCTATAAATTTTGTAGTAAGATTATTATGTAATTGTGCAGCGCATTAGAGTATTTTGTCAAAATAGATAGTGCGCTATATAAATGTTGTATATTATTATATTATTATTATTATTATTACAAGTTGACGAGAGGATGGCATCCTCGTTTGAAAGAAGCCATGTCATTGTCTAACAGAAACTGAAGGGCACAAACATGTTTTTCTTGAATTTAATTGCGATATTTATATACGTTCAGACTTACAAAAAAATAATGATATAAAGAATATGAATTTAGAAAATCCAAGAACAATAAGCCTGTTTATTATGCATATACTTAATATATGACATCACGCATTTTGTAAATTTAATATGCGACGAAACCGAATTTTATTATATAACCTGCAGTGTATTCATAAACAAGTTTTATAATTATAAAAATGACATTATTTCTTTTTTACTTGACACAGTGAATCCGTTAAACACAAAGCCTCTATTGCAAAGACTGAACCCAACAAACTGGAAACGAGGAGAAGATGTAGTTTTGAAATGGTCAACGGTGGACATTCCTTTTGACTCTGAAGGGTCAACCGTGGAGATCTACTCCGTGGAAGTAAGATACTTCAAACTCGAAATAGTCAAACGCGTGTGCTTGTATCACATAGCATTGTAGGAAAGAAGTTCGATAAAATGCATACATTCGTCACTTCCCAAAAATAAAAGCTCAACAAAATAATTGTTTCTAAAATTTACGTGTATGGTATATCTTGTTTCATCAAAACGGGAATTTTTGTCATAAAAAAACACCAGTAATCCTTTGTTCAATGATAAACTTTGCAAATACATCTTTAAATATAAAGAAATTGATTGAAGTATGGGGAAGATTTCTTTCTATAATTTTGTATTCACCTCATTTCTCTCATAGGCTTCCAAGCCGCTGACAGTCCTAGAAAGACGGAAAATGTGTATGATGTAGTTCTATTTAAAATTAGTATTAATAGGTGTTATTCACTTGTGTTGCTTTTATTTAATATTCTGAAAGTTAGATGTAAATATGTGCCTTGTAGCAAGTTAGGTATAACTTCATTATAACTGGTTTAAGTAAGCGACGATAAATGAATTTAAGAGGAAGTATATTTAAAGTCATAAAAATATATATCACTGATTCTTTTACACATGAAGATTTGGCATATTTTTTTTATTATTCCAGCCCGATTTGGACCACATTCCACGTATTCAGTATAATTCTTCAGTTGTACAGTATATAGAATCCTTCCAAACTGAGGTCACATTTACCCTTGAAACTGAAGTTGACGTCATTATTCTCTGTTTAACACAAGCGTCACAAGCAAATGATCAGTGAGTTATCGTTGACAGTATTTTCATCATTGTAACAATTTACTTTATGTTGTACCCTAAAACCTCGAAATGAAAAATAAAGCTATTCTGAAAAAAAGTATGTGATTTCTCATATACACAAACCTATCAATAATGACTATTAATGATAATAAGTTGTCGAGTTTTGAGGGTATATTCTTTCAAAATCAAATATAGATATCGGCCCTTTATCGATATACCTTGCCCCTTTCAAATCTACAATTCGAATTTAAATTGAAACCTGACTTGTAGGGCTAAGCAATGTGTTAGACAAGTTAAGGTTGGCATGGCAAGCAAACAAATTTTAAAGGACAGAATTAACGTATTTGTCTTTACACAATGTTCTTCCAGTCCAAGATGAAAAGACGACCTCAGTTTAAAAAGACAATTTCAAACACAACAATTAAATATTTGCAATTTTGATTCTACAATGACTTATTTCTTATTGTGATGTCTTGAACTGAAACGAAATAAACATAAAGCTTCACATTGTTGTAGTGGTTGGAAATTCTTCTGGTTATCAGACAGAAAACTTAGTCTGGGTAATAATAGGAAACCAAAATTATTCATCAATATTCAATTATTTCAATTACATTTTTTTCTTTGTTAAATCATATGGAAGCACATGACGCATGCTAACTAAATTGGTCTTTTTTTAGAAATTCAAAGCAGAGAATTTGGTCGGACGCCATTGTTGTAACTCCAAGAAATATCGACGAATCTAAAACATCTTGTAACCAATGGAAGGCAATGGATGATCAACTACCAAGTTTGTCAGATATAGAGACACAGGTTTGCCCGTGTCGTTTAGACCAGGCCGAGATTGACATACTTCGATTCCACTCCGATCCTATGTGCCAGTTCCCGGATAATTCTCTCCGACCGGAATCGAACTGCTTGTTCTATCAACAGGCAAAGAAGTGCTTTAGACTGAACACTCCTGGGTAAGAAAGTGACAATAATGTTACATTAATGATTTCTTTTCTGTTCAGGTCAAGCATCTGTATTATTTTTTTCCTAAAACGCATCCAACAAATGAATCAATGCACATCTAAGCAAGTAACATGACATTAAAATTATTATCTGAACAGGCAACACCCACATGTAAATTTGCTGAAAGCAGGTAAGTAATGCCACGTTCCCAAGTGAGAACAAAGTTAAGAATAACAGAACCACTAGGCATATGTAGGAGCATAAGATACGTCCAATTTCATAACGCATGACGAAAGAGAATGCTTTCCTACTTCAATGCTTACTTTTCGTCCCGAACGACAGTTCGCTCTTATCTTGTCTTGTTACAATAACATCGCAACAACTTCTGGCTTTTAAGTGGAGGTGGGAGGGTGGCGGTAGCCTTATTTAAACTCAATTGATCACGAATATCGGTTTACTATCATCTAAGGCGTCACAGATTTAGAATTTGAAACTTGTCTTTATTAGACCACAAGGCACAGGGCAGATATGTTGCTATGGCAACAACGGAAACCTCATGAACGCGCTGACATCCTCTGGCGGTGGATCCTTACAGCGCTTCCATTACTTTGGTGACACGGACGCCGCAGTACCGTATTTGTCAAACGTTGTCTTTGATATGGCTCCCTACTACCATTGTTGTGTGCATCCTCATCTTGCTCAGGCGGATGTTTCAAGTGAATGCTTCGAATTTTATCATAGGCGAACGCCTGGAAACTGCAATGCTTATGTTCCGAACATACCAGGTAAATATCGTAAAGAAAAGTACTTTTATTAACCATGATCACATTAGTTTGTATAGAGGATAGCTCAATGCAAGTTTAGAATTAGATATAGAATTGACGAATAATCAGCTACTAAACTACACCAAAGAGCTGTTTCTTGGACTCGTCAGTGATGCAAGCTATTTCATCATGTCATGTTTCGTTGTTTGCTTGGTGTGGATATTTTCAACAGGGAAATAATGGATATTTTATCGATGCTTTTAATACGTATAAGTTAATTAACGATCGAATCTGTCTTTGACCGATTTTATGAAATCTACAGAAACATGATTCAAATGTTATGTTCAAAATATCAAACAAGCCCAAGCGTACAATTACTAGGGCCAGTGAAAGTCTAATGGTTTGGGTTAAAATTATATGTCAAGCAGTATGACTCTGTCGAAATACGATCATGCAACACACTTCCAATATAACTGAAATACCTAGTTTTGACGATAGATTAAGAAATATTTTTTTTTTCTTTTCAAATCTGTGTTAGAGTTATCTTTCCTGACAGAATTGTAAACATGTAATCAAACGCGCAGATCAATGCTACAATCCGGTCATTTTTTTTACAAATGAAGCAAGCTAAATTTGCCAGTTCTTATTCGTCTTGAATACGTTGATAAAACTTTAAGCTATTTATATGGCAAATAGATTTAAGGAAGAGTGCAAAATAACTTCATTCTTAGAGAACATTTTTATATTCCAGCACAAAACTTCGGCGATCCCCACTTCGTGACTCCGGATGGGCTATCCTATACATTCAATGGAGCGGGAGAATATATATTGTTTAGAACAACTACCAACACTTTTATAGCTCAAGTCAGGATGCAACCCCTTCAAAACAATGGTAGGTATTGGAGAGAATTTATTTATCGATAGAGACAATTTAAATTGGCTTTCCATAATGAATTTGCCGTCTAAGTTAAACAATATACCAGCATGAAAGTTGATTACCTTCATTCTTTATTGAAAAATAAGAATGTCATTATCGAGGATCACTTAGCTGAAATCATTCGATCAATTAACCAAGACATACATGTTCTCACTCATCCGTATGGAGCATGTGTTCATCATTTACTAGTGTTTCCCTAATATCACCCAGGCGCCCAAGGAAGTGTGATTACCGCATTTGTTGCAAAAGCGATGAATTCGACAGGCCCTGTAGAAGTTAGACTCAACTCCATCCGGGCATTTGATATTCTGGTAAACGGATTGCTACAGGATGTCTCCGGTGTTAACTTCCTCCGCTATAAAGGCAAGTATTAAGTAAAGACAGTAACTTGATGTTCATGCCTGACATGAAAATTAGTTTCAACTACCTTCACATGATATACATTATGAATTCTTGCTTTCATAATCTTTTTTTTTTAATTCTATAATAAGTGTTCCAATTAAGTATATTTCATAAAATAAATCTTGAAATAATGTAAGCTTTTATAATTATAGGGATAACCATTTCAATCCGCGATAGTCCGTCAGCGACAGATGACTATAAGAAAGAAGTAAATCTGGTGTTTCCCGATCTGGAAATTGCCTTTCAGACACTAGTCTATGATTCATTTTTGACCTATGTCGTTACATTTGGCCCAGGCGTGAAACGAGGTAAGTTTGGAATGCTGGTGGACTTTTCGTCCTCGAGTTTTGTCGTTACCAGCATGTCACGTTTTAGCTCATTCGAACAGTACCAAGGTTCAGAATATTCGCAAGTACTTGACGCTGTTTTTCTAATATATGAAAATTACGACATTTATCTAATTGTTGGTTTACTGCGCTTCCCCGTCTAGATTTTGCGATTTTCGATCACTTTGGATTTTCTTCAGTTGTCTCACAGTCTTAAAAATTTAGGCCCTTAGGAACACTGACGAGTCCCAGAAAGACGAAACAGGTGCATGGTGCAGTCTAATTCATAGTTTGACTCTTCTGTGTCTAACTCTAAATCATAAAGAGGTGCTATTCACTTGCATGTACAATCTTAATTAACAAACTCAATTGCATTAACTATTCAAGTGATAATCGAGAGATTCTCGTCTGTGTATCGGCAATATGTCTTCTTAGTTATTCTTATTGACAGGACGTCTAGTCTGTGTACAGTCAGTTTGTCCCTGTATTATTTCCAGGTGGTATTGAGGGATGGAACATCTGCAATATGTCCCCCTGTATATTTTTCCGGGCTATACTGAGGAATTGAACTTCTCGTCTGTGTATAATCAATATTTCAAACTGTTTAATTCCAGGAAGCATTGAAAAAAAGTCTCGTATGTTTATAGTCAATAGATTCTATTGTATTAGTTTCAACCTGACTACAGCAAATTTGTTCCTTTGTTTTATTTTCACGTAGAATTGAGGAACATATTCGCCTATGTATAGTTGGTATGTCCCTTTGCGTTAATTCCAGGAGGTATTGAGGGACTCCTTGGAAATTTTAACCAGAATCCTAATGATGACCTTGTTTCCAAAGAAGGCAATGTTTTACAGGCCAATTCATCTACCGAAGACATACACTCGAACATGGGAGAGACATGTAAGTTAGACGATCATTGTCATAGTATGTAGTCTTCTAGCTGACATTATATCAACCAACGTAGACCAAATACGTAAAATATGAATTACATGACTTATCATGAAAAGTGTCCACTAAACTGAAGCCTTTTTTTGAAAAATTCTTGAAAATCGAATTTTAAGATATTCTGAGAGCACAAAAAAGATCGATTATTTTTTTTTGGTGTAAGTTTAGTGATGGCGGGAAATATATAAAAAAATAATGATTTTATCAAGTTCTCTCTTCTTTTATGAACGATATTAGCGAGATCAAGACGCACGTGCAGATTTCTATATTTGATTTTTTTTCTCTGTCTTACCTAAGCAGTGTCTTGTCGATGTTTTGTTTTTATGATGTGTTTTAACCTTGAGTTGTACTATTTATCTGCATAGGGCGAATCACAGAAGAAGAATCATTATTCACATATCCAGTAGGGGCGTCTTACTCTGCTATCCAGGACAAGAATTTCTTACCGGTGTTTGATGTTCCGGTATCTGCTGTTGATGAAAATTTGAGAGATTTTTGCGGAAACGACACCTTCTGTTATTATGATTACTACGTCACAAATGACACCAAGCTGGCAAGATCCACTCGTACATCTACCAAGATCCTTACTAGAATTCAAGAATTATCTCGTCAAAGTTAGTGTAACTTCAATGCTTATTTTTTCAAAGAATGGTAATTGGTTGATATATATATATAATCATCCTCTACAAATCTCATCTGCTATGATATAAACATAGATAAAAAACATCTAACGAAACGATTTATTTGGTGCCATGACGAATATCCTTGATTTAGATTTCGCTCGAATGGCTAGCGTAAGATGTGTCTAAAGAATTCGAAAAGGTATTACTAGAAATAAACCAAAATGTTCACAAAAACATGTATACCAGTAAAGCATTTGACTTAAAGAATTTAGGTTGTGTTTATATACATTATCACATGGTGTTATTTTCTTTGTTGTTTGTTACGATACATTCAGACTCCAAGATAACTCTATCATATAGACAATAATTTGTAAGTTTTTGTAAAACTTTGAGAACTGTTATCATTGCTGGTGGCAACACTCGGGATTTGCTTATCTCAGTCGTTTCGGCATTGTTTCTTGTAATTTTAAGTAAGATCTTCCAATATAATAGAATTTGATTATAAATGTGATGATTGTTTTCTTATGTACGTTAATTCAACTTTCAATCTACCTGTGACATCACATGTCGTCGTTAACTTAAGTGTTACTTATTTATCAATTAACGACCTCAGTTAAGATCAACATGGTATTCTAACGACTACGTTGAAAAAGCACTGACCCCAAGCAAACCACAGGTCATTTTTTCTACTAGGTAGTTATAACACCATATTGACCGAAATCAAAGGCCGTTACTTTTTATGTTATTTAAGTACCAGAACTTTTCTTTTCAGTCTTTAATATCGTCTTATCTTAACATTGAACCTGAAAACAGAATCATCAGCAAATATTGTTATTTTATTAAGACATTTAATTAAATTTTTAAAACATTTTAACAAATATAATGCTTAATTCAGAATATCACAAATTATCTCGACGAAACGTATATTATCTCCATTTTTCATATTGTCCGATATTTATAGTAGTGTCGGGTATAACCTGTGATATCACATACCGATATTTACAGTAGTGTCACGTATAACCTGTGATAACATATCCTGATGTTTACAGTAGTGTCACGTATAACCTGTGATATCACATGCTGATGTTTACAGTAGTGTCACGTATGACCTGTGATATCACATGCTGATGTTTACAGTAGTATCACGTATAACCTGTGATATCACATGCTGATGTTTACAGTAGTGTCACGTATGACCTGTGATATCACATGCTGATGTTTACAGTAGTGTCACGTATGACCTGTGATATCACATGCTGATGTTTACAGTAGTGTCACGTATAACCTGTGATATCACATACCGATATTTACAGAGTGTCACGTATAACTTGTGATATCACATACCGATATTTACAGTAGTGTCAGGTATAACCTGTGATATCACATACCGATGTTTAGGGTAGTGTCAGGTATAACCTGTGATATCATAATCCGATGTTTACTTTACTAACGTTTGACATATTACTTGCAGCTATAAGTTGCGGGTTCCCACCTGCAGTGGAGAATGGACAGTGGAGTATTACTGGTACAGATGTCGGGGATTCAGGTAGACTTCTTTGCAACTCTGATGCACAACTCGGAGGCTCTGGTAACATAATCTGTGATAAAGAAGGGAACTGGACGGCTAGCCAGAGTACTTGTACACAGTCAGGTATTAATTTTTTATTCAGCAGATTGTGTAACACTGGTATCATAAAACATGTCTGTGATATATTCGCTCAATATTTTGTGTAATTGTTCATGGAAGAAAACTTATGTGCGTTAATTTAGCTTACAATCTACCTGTGATATCACATGTCGTCGTTAACTAAAATGTTACGTATTTATCAATTAACAACCTTACATAAGATTAATATGGTATTATATCTACGACGTAGAAAACTATTGACTTTTTACAATTATTCTTGTTTCTAGTTGTTACGATTGACCCGAACACGGGACTGAACTTATCTGGTAAGTCAATGTATTTATTGGATAAATTGATCTAATTTCTTCATATATTTGGAGTACCTCAGTAGTACTATGTAAACCAGCCTTATCAAAGCATTGTACTCGATTAAGTTTGCGGTAGTGTAAAGGATAAGTACTGTGTGGACCACCATTATCAAAACAATGTACTCCGGATAAGTTTGAAAAAGTCTTAAGTGTAAGTACTGTGTCGACCAGCATTGTCAAAGCATTGTACTCCGATTTTAGTGTTAAGGATAAGTGTTGTGTGGACCAGCATTGTCAAAGCAATGTGCTCCGATTAAGTTTGCGGTAGTGTAAAGGATAAGTACTGTGTGGACCAGCATTGTCAAAGCAATGTACTCCGATTAAGTTTGTAGAAGTGTTAAGTACTATTTGGACCAACATTATCAAAGCAATGTGCTCCGATTAAGTTTGTAGAAGTGTTAAGTACTGTGTGGACCAACATTATCAAAGCAATGTGCTCCGATTAAGTTTGTGGTAGTGTTAAGGATAAGTGTTGTGTGGACCAGCATTGTCAAAGCAATGTGCTCCGATTAAGTTTGCGGTAGTGTAAAGGATAAGTACTGTGTGGACCAGCATTGTCAAAGCAATGTACTCCGATTAAGTTTGTAGAAGTGTTAAGTACTATTTGGACCAACATTATCAAAGCAATGTGCTCCGATTAAGTTTGTAGAAGTGTTAAGTACTGTGTGGACCAACATTATCAAAGCAATGTGCTCCGATTAAGTTTGTGGTAGTGTTAAGGATAAGTACTTTGTGGACCAGCATTGTCAAAGCAGTGTACTCCGATTAAGTTTGTGGTAGCGTTAAGTGTCAGTACTATGTGGACCAACATTATCAACCATTGTACTCCGATTAAGTTTGTGGTAGCGTTAAGTGTCAGTACTATGTGGACCAACATTATCAACCATTGTACTCCGATTAAGTTTGTGGTAGCGTTAAGTGTCAGTACTATGTGGACCAACATTATCAACCATTGTACTCCGATTAAGTTTGTGGTAGTGTTAAGTGTCAGTACTATGTGGACCAACATTATCAACCATTGTACTCCGATTAAGTTTGTGGTAGTGTTAAGTGTCAGTACTATGTGGACCAACAGTATCAACCATTGTACTCCGATTAAGTTTGTGATAGTGTTAAGTGTCAGTACTATTTGGACCAGCATTGTCAAAATGATGAGATATTTATGTGGATATTTTACGAAAATAACTGTTTTCTATTCGTATAACTTTACCCTCTCATGATTCATATTTTTATATTACAGACACCTGGAAGATGGTTGTTATAATTGGTGTTGTATCAGTCTTTGTCATCGCTACCATTACCATAATATCCATCGTTCTCATCAGACGTTTCTGCTACAAGAAAGAAGATGGTATGGAATGTCAGAACCGCGTGTATAGACATAATCGTAACTAACGAATACTGTATCTGGAATACGGTATTATGAAAAAGAACTATTTTCCATCTCTAATATTTTTTCTTTGTATTGCTTTGACAATTGCTTAAAGAGGAACCTGAATGCTGATAGGTTTGATTTTCAATGGATTTGTGGTTGTATAAAGAAATAAGATGCAGTGTGTCTAATAATTTGGGTGCAGAGCGTTGGATTAACTTCCACAGGGTGAAAACCTTCTCTGAGGTAGGTCGGGGGATGGTAGCGTAATTCGTTATTTTATCGGGTGGGAAGCTATAGCTGGGTGGAATGTAATTTTGTATAGAGATAGATAAGTTAATGTGTTCGGTGTAAGATGGGGGTCTCTGTGTCGGTATAGGCCTATACCGTTTATGATAATTCCTGTTAATTAACGTTTGCTGTTAAATAAATTTTTACATTTAAATTAGCAGTGTTTGTCCTCCTTCGAAAAACAAATACAAGCTGTACCCATCGAACCTGGGTTGACGGTGATACAGGGCGAGATGGGACCGGGACCGGGTAACTGTTGAACCCCCCCCCCCTCTCCCTCCTGTTACACAATAATTGACAGAAAAATCCACGAACGCTCACAAATATTTGAAACCTAAGTAAAACATTCCATAGACGATGACACTGCTGTTACTTTACCATCAATTATAGTATAAATTAGTCGAATAACATTTAAGTAGGCCCAAAAAACGAAACGATATAACCTGGCTTCTGCTAGAAAACTAATGGCTGCCGGAGTGGGACAGAACGCGCGCTCACACTAGTGACGTCACTACTGAAGAGCTCTGTTACAGTGCCGTTCGATGATCTCGTTCAGGTGTTTTTAGCGTTTTCGACAATAGCTTTGGAACGCGTGGATCGTTTTCCACGATTTTTGCGGTAAATGAACGAGCAAAGGCTATTTGATTTAATGACACATATGTATAGGTTCCTCTTTGATAAAGATATATTAAGATTATTGATAAATAACGTGAAAATTATATTCCTTTGTCTAATGATACCATTCATGGTAAAACAAAGAGTGCTTTGTCTTAGTAAGCTGAAGATAATCTTCTAGGAGAGCAAATTCAAATCTAATATGCCTGAAAATAAAAGAGCAGAAAAAACACAATTAGATGGAGATCAGGAGAAATCAAAGGCACGGTACGGTTCCTTTTCGTTTAAGAAATATTGATGACATATGGAACAGAATACTGCAAATGTAGCAGATGTTTGCATCATTTTGTGTAGTAAGTGTATATCAGTAAACCGATAGACACATCATCGTAAAAAAAGTTTCCTTTTTTTTTTTAAATTATCGCATACAAATATATAAAGTGTATCAGCTTATAAACAATGACAGTTGGTGTTTTCTGAAATATGCACATGATAAGTTTAATTAATAAGTATTAAAAAAAGTCTTATATGTTGATCAAAAGTCTGGATATGTAAACTTTGGCGTCATATATGATAACGCATTCGCACAAAACATTGTCCCCTGTAAACAAAAATGTCCTCTGCCGAATCGGTTGGCGATTAATATTACTTATTTCGTAATTCTACATTAGCTTAGAGTTATCAAATAACACCCGTAACAAAATCCGATGCTGAAAAAGGGGAATTTAACTGACTGTCAGTAATCTGCTTTTACTTTTTCCGGAGTCTCCGTGTAAATCTTTCTTTTTGTTCCTATTTTGCCCTTGCTTTATGGGGATTTGAGTTTGGATTATGATTATGTTGCCATGTTCGTATTTTCTTGATCTTAGTTTTTATTACTGTCGATGTCATTTCTGCCCGCCATCATGTGTTCGTCTTTCCAAAGTAAACTGTCTTAGTTTCAAAACTATCGAGTTACGCTAAATTGGAGAGGGGTTTCCCGAACCAAAGAAGTGCTCAAGCTGGATATTGGAAATCGACTGTAAATATCGGGATATAATTGAAATGTAATTGGAAGTGTATGAAACACACATAATCAATAACAAACTTAATGTTTTCACCTTGATGTCCCTTTAATCTTTTTTCAATTCATTTCAACATATTTTATTAAGGCTTTTTATGCTCAACTGTCCATGTTTGGTGTTCTAATGGAAATAATTTCATTTCAGGTCACGATTTGTAACAGTGTTTTAGTAATAATAAAGTTGACCAATAATAACATCATCATTTGATAATTTGAAATATGTGAATGATGCCTATTTATCACCTGTTTATGCATATATACCTTGGGATACAGCTCAAAAAATCCATGGTTTATAAAGACATCGACTATCCACCTGTTTTCGTTAGTTTATTTACTTCATCCGTCTACAGTTACTAACCTTGTCTGCCAATACACATAAAGAGGGCAGCTTGCTCCAACGACCTAGTTAAAACGACTTATTTTCGTGAATCTTCAGACACGGCAATAGAGCAAACTGGGAAAAGACATTACAATATAAGAGACACTAATATCGATGTAATAAGGGAAATTTCGGTCAAGAAAAAAAAAACAAAAAAACCAGTTACAGTGACAGTATGCCATTTGCTGAACTTTCTGCAGGAAACTGACAAGAAACAGAAGATTAAATCGTAATTATTTTGACATGGGGAACACTCATAATAAAAAACAAATTCAAACATAATGTAAAAAGAAACTTTATTTAAACTCATACTGGACAACATATAAACAAAACAGAATTGTTGGCACGGTGCCCTTTGAAAAGTAGTATAATTATCAGGTGTTCTGAAAAGAAAGCGTCTTCTGCTTCATTTACGACAACCTGCTTGTAAATCTTGGTTAAGGTAATGTCACGTTCCTAAATAAGGAATATATCAACAACAACAATCTACAAAACATACCTTGGAGCATCAGAAACGTTCAAATATATATTTCGCAATGGAATCATAATTACGGCCATAAAATCTTTCCCTTAAAACTGCACCTCTCATAGTCCTGTGTTGGGTGCATTTATCAGTTGTCGAAAAACAAGATATTGGTAATAATCTGTTTCATACCGAATCAAATGTGACGTGCAGACACCAGAGATTTAAAGACAAAAAGTAAGTATATATGAAAATCGAAATTGAAGGGTTTTGCAAGGTCTTTCTGACCTTTTTTGATAAGCTCTCCGATGGATTTATTTCAAAACAAAAACTAGTCAGCCATTAGAGGGGCATAACATTTAACAAATATCCGTATAGATCATTGGAAGGTTTTACCAACAAACTCAAAAAAGATAATGTAAATCAGAAACTCGATTAACTATATGATTTCGTCCTAGTCATATTTCGCCCTAGTCATATTTCGTCCTAGTCATATTTCGCCTTTGATCTTGATTCACGCTTCATTATAGTTCATAACCATATATCTGTACCGCAATTTACATTTTATGAAAAAGAAAGCTCTCGTTAACATAGATAAAATCAGATCAAAGACGTTCGTTCTGTTTAGAATTGTGTGGTGCTATGTATCAATGTCTCATCCACATCATGATTACCAACCCTTTTCAGTTCATTCATGAAAATCTATAAAGAATTATACATATACATTCTTATACATTGTATACCATACTCCTCCTAGTTAAATAACTTCTTTTATATCATTACTAAATATACATATTGACTTTATATACATGTAAACAAGTGTATATATCTCTATAAGTTAATGTACACTGCACACAGTGTCACAAATATTGACCGCATTTTCTTTCAGATACGTCCAAAATTGTTCTTCATATATTATGGGAATATTGGGAAAGTGCCTTCTTTTGCAAAAAATACATTGCAACAGCATGGCAAAGGAATGTAACAAAAAAGGGAAAAACTAATTAAAATTATAGAGTTTGCAGCTTGTGATGAATGAAATAAACCCACTGTATGAAATAAACGAAAGAATTAATTGTTACGTGTAAGCATTTTCTACAACGAACAGCTTAGCGTCTTTTGGCGTTTTCTAATCGATGAAATATATAGCATACGGTCAGTTTAGGGATATATGGTCTGTGTAGCATATTATTCTCAGATTTTCAGCACACCACAAACATGCCTCTCTTTGTCAAAAAGAAAACATGTAAAAATGTTTTATGTGTATACAGGAACGCTTATCCTCAAAGTTGTGATAAAATTTGAATAAGATTTTTATGGAAGGTATGTTTTTTATTATGATTTTTCCTCGTTTATTTTCCCTTTAGTTAATGTGAAAAGATAAAGTCCAAAGGTTTCCTGCTTAATGTTATATATCCATGTTTTCAGTTTAATAACGTCATTATATATATATATTCTGGTATTACACGTGTAATATAGCCAATGTAGCAGTCGATAGCTTTTTCCATGAATATTCACAAAAGGTATCTAAGTTTTGTGATAAACGGGGAAGAAGCTCGGTAAAACGACAAATATTGAGACGCGTTTCATAATATTCCTCTAATTGGAGACTCTGCTACTTTAGATTTTAGCGAATAGTTGATTAAAATATACACAATCTTCCTCTAAAATCGCATCTGCTATTATTTTTTTTCTGATTTTGTTATATTGCCTAATTATTGATCAAACGAGCAACAACTACAATTTATTTGGTATAATGACGGCTGTCGCTGATTTAGCTCATTCCTATTTGAATAGATACAAGAAAGACATGTTCAATGTATTCCAAAAGGTATTACTTAGAAATAAACCAAAATTTAGCAACACGTATATTTTAATGCCTGTATAGTGTTTGGCTAAAAACATTCAGGATGTGCTTAGTGTACATATACCTTATCACATGTTGCTATTTTCTTGTTTTGTTACGATACATCCAGGCTTCGAAGTAACATTAAAGATTGACAATATTTTGTAAGTTTTCAGTGATCACAGATATTTTTCTCTTTTCGTCAAGGCATTTCGTCCATTATATATATATGACACCTGAAAACAATTTAAAATGTATTTGGAAAGCGTAACTTTTTATGTAAATCTGTAAGAACTTTGTCTCTGTGTTTGTTGTTATTACCGCTGCTGGTAACAGACAGAATATGCTCATTTTAGTTGTTTCTCCTAATTCTTAATAAAATCTTCCTATATTATATAGTTTACAGGTAGGTGATAAATGTTTGTTTATGTGAATCAATTCAACTTTCAATCTACCAATGATATAACATGCCGTCATTTACGGAAGTGCTACGTATTCATCAATTATGGATCTTAGATAAGGTCAGTGTGATGTTATATCGACCACGTGGAAACAATATTGAACGAAGGTGAATCCCTGGTCATGTTTTTCCACTCTGAAGTTATGACACCATTTTGACCGATATCAAAGATTCTTACATTTCATGTGTCTAATGTACCGGGACTTTTCATGACATTGTTGAATATAGTCTTGTCTTGATATTGAACTTTAAGATAAAAAGGAAAATGTTTTATAACAGATATTATGTCTGAATGGGAATATCACCAAGTACCCTCTAAGAAAAGTAT